TGTGAGTGCATGGGGTTAATTAGCGCTAATTAGGGCTTAATTGGGCCCTTGGGGGGGTTTAGTGGGGTTATGGTGGGGTTTAATGGGGTTAAATGGGGTTTAAGTGGGGCTTAATGGGGCTTAATGGCTCTGCAGGGGGCGCCGCACGGGGCTGCCGTGAGTACGGGGGTTAATTAGCACTAATTAAGGTTTAATTGGGCCTTTGGGGGGGTTTAGTGGGGTTTTGGTGGGGTTTAATGGAGTTAAGTGGGGCTTAATGGGGCTTAATGGGGGTTAATTGGGGCTTAAGGGCTCTGCAGGGGGTGCCACACGGGGCTGCTGTGAGTGCATGGGGTTAATTAGCGCTAATTAGGGCTTAATTGGGCCTTTGGGGGGGTTTAGTGGGATTTTGGTGGGGTTTAATGGAGTTAAGTGGGGCTTAATGGGGGTTAATTGGGGCTCAATGGGGTTTTGGTGGGGTTAATTGGGGCTTAATGGGGTTTAATTGGGGCTTACTGGGTGCTGGTGGGGTTTAATTGAGTTTTAATGGGGCTTAATTGAAGCTTAATGAGACTTTAATGAGGGTTTAGCAGGGCTTTAATGGGCCGTAATGGGGCTTATTGGGGTTTAATAGGGTCTAATTAAACTTAATGAGACTTAATGAGGCTTAGTAAGGTCTTAATGGGGCTTAATTGAGTCTTAATAGAGTTTAATGGGTCTTAATAGAGTTTAGTTTAAGTTTAATGAGATGTAGTGTGGTGTAATGGGATCTTAATGGGTCACAATCAGGTGTAATTGAGTCTTAATGAGCTTTAATTAAAACCTAATGAGCCTTAACGAGGCTCAGTAGGGTTTTGATGAGTCTTAATGGGGTTTAATGGGTCTTAACGAGGTCTAATTGGGGCTTGGTGGGTGTTCATGGGGGACGCGGTGGGTTTGATTGGTGCCTCAGGCTCGTTAAGGGGCGTTAATTGCGTTAATTGCTGCAGGTGTGGGTGCGTGTGCCCCTGCTGGCCCCCGAGGACGGGCGCGAGGACGCCATCGCTAACGAGCCGCTGCCTAACGAGGGCGACGGGCGGCAGGAGGAGCGGACGTGGCACTGGTGGGTCGTTAATGGAGTTAATTAACTAATTAATGGGGGGTGTTAATGAGGTGTGGGTGGGAAAACGAGGATTTGGGGCCTTTGCAGGTGGAACAACTTCCGGACTCTGTGCGACTACAACAAGAGGGTCGGGCTGGGTGAGTGGCAGGAAGGGGCGGGGCCACGGCAGGAAGGGGCGGGGCCACGGCAGGAAGGGGCGGGGCCACAACAGGAAAGGGACGGAGCCACAATAGGGAATGGAGCAGCAATGGGCGGAGCCATGGAGGAAAGGGGGTGGAGCTGTATTAGAAGGGGGTGGGGCCACGGCAGGAAGAGGGGTGGGGTTGTGACAGGAAGAGGAGGAGCCACGGCAGGAAGGGGAGGGGCCATGAATGGGAAAGAGAGGGGTCACAAAAAAGGAGAGGTGGAGGCGTGGGTGAAAGGGGGTGGAGCCACAACAGGAAAAGGCGGGGCTGTGGGTGAAAGAGGGTGGGGCATGGGAAGGAAGGGGCGGGGTCACGGCAGGAAGGGGCGGGGCGTGGGGAGGAAGGGGCGGGATGATGAATAGGTGGCAATGCTGGGACAGGAAGGGGCAGGGCTTGTGTCTGTGGGTGGGGCTAGAGCTGAGTGGGCGGGGTTTGGCAGGAAGGGGCGGGGCTTGTATCCCATATACGGTGGGTGGGGTCTGGGGTCAAGCTATATGTGGGCGTGGCCAAGGCTTTTGGGGGCGGAGCTTAGCGGGTTAACAGGGGAAACCTATGAAGGCATTGGAGGAATCAGGGTGTGGGGGTGGGGCAATGATGAAGTGGGCGTGGCTATGCATGCAGGGGGCGGGGCTTAATTCTTTCTTCTCTTTCCGCCTTGTGGGCGGAGCCATGTGGTGATGGCAAAGGGGGCGGGGCCTAAGTCACCCATAGGGCACTATGGGGTGGGAAATGGGGATGGGCGGAGCTTCGGCCTCCAAAGGGGGCGTGGCCTCTCTCTGTCCCCGCCCAGCGCTGGAGGTGGGCCCTGATTTGCCGTCGGCGGAAGCCATCGACCGCTGGCTGGGGGAGCCACTGCGGGCGGCCATCTTGCCCACCAGCATCTTCCTCACCAACAAGAAGGGCTTCCCCGTCCTGTCCAGGCCCCACCAGCGCCTGCTGGGCCGCCTGCTCAAGGTGAGGGGGGATGTGGGGCTGGGAGGGGGGGTGTGGGGCTGGGATGGGGGGATGTGGGGCTGGGAAGGGGGTAGGGGCACTATGGGATCTCTATGGGGTCGTTATGGGGTCGCTATGGGGTTGCTGTGGGGCACTATGAGGCCGCTATGGGGCTGCTCTGGGGTCGCTATGGGGTCCCTATGGAGTCCTTACGGGGTCACTACTGCTATAGGGCCGCTATGGGGCTGCTCTGGGGTCGCTATGGGGTCACTGTGGGATGGCTGTGGGGCAGCTGTGGGGCAGCTATGGGGCAGGCAGTGCCCGCCATGGTTTCCCCCCACAGTTGGAGGTGCAGGTGGTGCTATGGGGCGCCCCACACCACGAGCCCAAGCCGCTGAGCGCCTACCTGCAGTACCTGGAGCACGTGGGGCAGAACCGGCCCCCGCCATCGGCCTACGAGCTGTTTGCGCGCGGATACGAGGATTACCTGCAGTGCCCCCTGCAGGTGGGAGGGCCGGAAGGGGCGGGGCAGGAAGTGGGAGGGGTGGGGCAGGAAGTGGGAGGGGCTTGGAGGAGCTGGGCAGGAAGTAGGAGGGGGTGAAAGAGGCAGGAAGTGGGGGAGTCTAAAGTCTGGATGATCTGCAGTGCCCCCTGCAGGTGGGAGGGCCGGAAGGGGTGGGGCAGGAAGTGGGAGGGGCTTGGAAGAGCAGGGCAGGAAGTGGGGGAGTCTAAAGTCTGCATTACCTGTAGTGCCCACTGCAGGTGGGAGGGCCAGAAGGGGCAAGGCAGGAAGTGGGAGGGGCTTGGAGGGGGCGTGGCAGGAAGTGGGAGGGGCTTAAAGGGTGGAACAGGAAGTGGAGGAGTCTAAAGTGGGATGTCTGGATGACCTGCAGCGCCCCATAGAGGTGGGAGGATTAAAGGGGCGGGACAGGAAGTGGGAGGGGCCTAAGGGGGCGGAGCCTTAGGGGACGGAGTGCAGAAGGAAAGGCATTGGGGGCAATTGAAGGGGCGGGGCTTAGGGGGGGGGGCGGGGCTTAATACAGGTTGCAGCCAATAGGAATGCAAAGGGGCGAGGCTTGGCTGTCATGGGCGGGGCTTAACGTGTTTGGTCCTGGGGGCATGGCTTCATGCATGGGATTGGAGGCGGGGCTTTCCATTGGCCAAAACAGTGGGAACAGGGGGGTTATGCTAATGAGGGGGCGTGGCTTGCTCTGACCCCGCCCCTTTTGCCGCAGCCCTTGATGGACAACCTGGAGTCGCAGACCTACGAAGTCTTCGAAAAGGATCCAATCAAATACAGCCAATACCAGCAGGTGGGCGGGACTTCCTGTTGGAGGGCGGGACTTCCTCTGAGTAAGCGTGGCCACGCCCCTTCTCTGACGCGGCCACGCCCCCTTTTGCCCATATAAGGCCATCTATAAATGTCTGCTGGACCGCGTGCCTGAGGAGGAGAAGGAAACCAACGTGCAGTGAGTGCTTGTGGGGCTGCCCCATAGCGCCCCATAGTGCCCCATAGCGCCCCATAGCGCCCCATAGCGCCCCACAGTGCCCCATAGCGCCCCATAGTGCCCCACAGCGCCCCATAGCATCCCATAGCGCCCCATAGCGCCCCACTGTGTGCATCTGCACTGCGGAGTGTCTATGGGGCAGCCATGGGGTGCTATGGGGTATCTATGGGGCAGCCGTGGGGCAGCTATGGGGCAGCCGTGGGGCAGCCGTGTGTCTGACATTGGGCTCCCCGCAGGGTGGTGCTGGTGCTGGGCGCAGGCCGCGGGCCGCTGGTGAACGCAGCACTGAGAGCCGCCCGCATGGCGCAGCGCCGCATCCGAGTGTTTGCTGTGGAGAAGAACCCCAACGCCGTCGTCACGTGAGTCACTGCGACCCATAGCGACCATAGGGACCATAGAGACCATAGAGACCATAGGGACACATAGAGACCCATAGCGACCCATAGAGACCCATAGCGACCATAGAGACCCATAGCG